CGATGTCAAACCGGCAGGAACAGCAGTAGCCAGGGCAGCTGGCAGGCAACCTGCCGAACGCAATCGCACTTTCGAAGCTTGTGACATGTTCACACTGAGCCTCTTCATTTTCTGGTTGTGCGTTTTAAGTCTGACTCCGTTTTTCGGATTTGGCATTTTTGTTTGTGGATTGGGGCTTCCGGACACGTGCGATTGACCAAATGACCAAACTTTTTTCTCGTCCGGTTGCGACGTTTTCGCAGTGAGTGCTCTAATTTTTGGTTGCACGTTTTTTTGACGGACACCTTAGTTTCCGGATGGGCGCTTTCTGTTTCGGGGTTTGAGCCTTCGGACGCGAATGTTGGACAGATTGTCTTGTTTGTTTTTTTTGAGTCCGTTGATATTTCTGACTCGGGTCTGCGCGTTTTGTGAAAATGCCGGGCGGGTGCGTTTTCTGATTCATTCTTGTCGTTTTCTGATTGGAGCTCTTCGTTTACTGCCCACGTGGACGATCGGTCCACTCCGCCTCGTCGAGCTGCGCCGCGGCGCCAGCTCGCAAGCTCGCCTACGAGCTCGCGCAGCAGGCGGTCCACCACGTCCGGGTAGCGATGGCGCAAAACTTCCGCACATGCGTGCACATGCCGCCCAGTAAGCCGCCGCGAAACTCGTTCGCCCGTGAGGAGGCCTACGCCCCCTTTTGGTGGAACTCGATGTCGCACGCGAGCCCAGTCGTCGTGCCTCTCCAGTGCTCAAGGACCAAACTGCCGTGTCGTGGGCTTGCGCATTCGGCCGTATGTGTGTTGGGGTGACATTGCAGAGGTGCTGCGGCCGGGGCGCCGCTCAGTAAGCAAAAAACAGGCAACAGCTACGCACATTGCAGGAGCTGCGACGAACACGGGATGGCCGATGGGCACGCCCAGCGCAACAAACCCGCGCAGGTCGCTAAACGTCCGAGAGCGGCGATTCTTGGGGGAGCTGGCCCTTGCCTCACGGTAGACCGCGTCTTGCCAAGGTTGGCAGCGATGCCCGCCCCTTGCTCGTTCTTGCCGGTAACGACCTCAAGGAGGTGCCCTGCCCGCTGCGACGTCGTGACCATGTACAGGTCGTCCAAAAACGCTGAGAGCTGTTCGCTAGGCCATAGCGACGTGCTCGCAGGGACGAGGGAGTCGTGGCGCTATCCTGAACAAGCTGCGTTCCACAGTCCCGGAACAGCCGCCTTGCGGGCCAGGTACGTACGTCATGGACCGAGTGGCACAACAGAATGCTCCACCAGCTCCTCCCACTGCACGGTTTGCTTCTGCACGGTGATCTGATGATTCGTCGAGGACATCATGTACCCCCCCTAACCTCTATCCTTTAACCTCTGTCGGATACATGCTGGTTAAGGGATAGAGTTTGCCAGGGTCCACGCGATCTATCTATCTAACCACCCCCCCCCCAAACTTAAAATTGCAGGGGAGCCCGTCTATCTATCTATCTAACCACCCCCCCCCCCCCCGCCGGCTTAAAGTTAAAAGGAGCCTGGTCAATCTATCTATCTATCTAACCCCCCCCCCCCCTGGTTTTCGGGAGCTCGTCTATCCATCTATCCACCTCGCCCCCTCCCCCTCCCCTTGGCTACAGGAGCCCGTCTATCTATCTATCTATCTATCTATCTAACCCCCCCCGCAGTTCCCCAATCTCCCAGCCGCCCGTCTGTCTATCCCCCCCCCCCCGCTGCGGGTCGCCCAACCTCCCAGCCGCCCGTCTATCTATCTAACCCTCACTATCTATCTAACCACCCCCTCCCCCCCGGCCTAAAATTTTATCTATCTATTTCCCCCCTTCGCAAACTCGTGAGTCTGAGAAAGTCTGAGGAAACAGTGCGTGCCTGCAAAACCTCACGATTTTGTTGGATTTTTGTGGTGATGTGGTCAGCGCTCTAAAGCACGTGACATTGCTGCCGGCAGTCGGGCAGGCGTACGAAACCATAGGTTTTGGGTTGCGCCGGATAACTGGCTGGATAGGCGAATGGGTTTGTAGCTCGTGTGGCCGCACTTTTAGAAAAAACGATGCGTTGTTGCGGCCCGCAGCATTGCCGGGGTGCACGGGATCCGGGGCTCTCAGATCTGGAGCCACGCATTTTTCGATGCGTTGATGCAGAAGTGGTGCAGACGTGCGAGCTACCAGGAGTTGTTGGCGCTGCATGTGTGACAGGCTGCTGTCGGGAGCACGGTGCCCGTCCGAGGCGTTGCGGTCGTTCCACTCGTGGGCGGGATGAGCACCTGACAAAGGCATGCGCCCTTGCGGCATGTGTTCTGGCGTCCCTGGATTTCTGTCAACTGCCGGCTCATGTCCGTGACTCCGTGCAAGGGTTGCGTGCGTTAGCTGCTAGCGGCTAGCGCAGCTGGCCAAAAAATGCGAGCTCTTTTCGTCGTCACCGCCAACGCACGGGAGCCGACCAATGTGAGTGTGCCGCGCTGAAGGTGCAACCGGCACAGACGCTCGTGCCACTTAAGTTACCGTTGGGTGAGTTGTAGGCATGCTATTTTTGCAACCAGCACAGGCGAAACGGAGGAGGCGTCCCACTGTGTGTATGAGGCCGCGACACGCTCATGCCGACGACAGCGATGCCAGGCGCGTGCACTCCTGCAGGCCACTTGCTGAAAACTGTTTTTGCCCTTTTCATCATCAATGGCCCATATGCGGTGGGGGCTGACGGGCAGGTCGTACCACAACAGTGGCTGGCCCACACCACTGCGACCGGGTGTGCCTGCAGGCGACCGCAGACGGCTCGATGTCGTCGTAGTGTCGTCGTGTACGGCGCCGCGCCCCGGAGCTCTGTGCTGCGACGCCACGCTGGTCTCACCTTTGACATGGGGTGGGCAGCCGCAGCCCGGCACAGAAACCGATGGGGCCGTGCTGCGAGTGGCAGATCGCCGCAAGCTGGCAGCCTACCCGGAGCTCGGCCGCGGGACCCCCGGTGGCTGGTGGTGCCTGGGTCGGAGGTTGGGGGCCGCTGGAACGGTGATGCCCAACGTATCGTCCGGGACGTGCTCCGCGTGCGAGCGCAGCGTGCGCCACCTGCACTCCGGTCAGCAACGAGCGCAGGCTGGTCGTGCCGTCGTTGATTTTTTGTCGTCACGAACACACATGTTGCAGGCGCCTAGTTGCCTAGCTAGGGGTCTGTTGCATTTGTCGCCCTCAGGTGCGGAGGGATGGCAGGCTTGGGCCAATTGGGGCCGCGAGCTCCAGCACCCGCTCCAGGGGCGGGCCTGCGTGCTGGCTGGGGTGAAGTGGGGCCGGCTACGCACAACCAAGGGTTGTGCTTGTGACCGCGTGCTGCACGGCTACTCCGAGAATCCTCCGCCACAATACGCGGGTGACGCTGGCAGGATTGGCAAGGTGTTTGTCCAAGATGCCCAACAATGCCCAACACGCTGCGTTCCAGTCTTCCACGGCACGACGCAGTCCCAAGCTTCCGAGCTTCAACGGCAGCGCAGCGCGTGTGCTACCGAGCTTGTTAATGCGCAATGGGACATCATTGGCCAGGAGCTCAGCTAGGCAGTATGCAAATTCGTCCGTCCGGGACGGTGCCAACAAGCGAGGAGCACATGAGCACCACGCAGACTGAATGTCAGGCAAGCTGGGGATCCCGGGCCTGGAAGCAGACGTGTGCAACACGAGCTAAAAACCTCAACGTCGCAATCCAAGCGCCGCCAAACACGACGGCCTGGCACGGCGTTTTCACCAGTGGCGGCGTTGCAAGGACAACGTTTGCTGGTGCAGTTAGCGTTGCAAAAGTTAGTAAAACAAGTGTTTGCAAACGAATTTCGATATGCAGTGTGCCGGCACACAGTGCAGCCACCCTCACGTGTCACAGCACCTCCGTCCGCAACAGGCAGCACGGACTGGTTGGATCGGGTCCTCATGCTCATCGGCATCGGAGACAGCTCGTGGCCAACATTGGCCAACCATATTTCAGAAACGAGGTCCGAGGCTAACCTATCCCCACCAAGTACTTGCAACAGATAATTCTGCTGGGGATGTGACCATCTGCATGTTACACTTGGAACAGCCAACCCCAACGACGCATTTAACATCGGTTATCATCGGGTCTACCAACTCAATTTGCGCGGCGTCTTGCAAAACCTGTCGCGCATCTGATGTGCTCATGTCAACCATGTTCAAATCGTGAAGACACAGTTCCTTCAATGTAGAATCCAAATGCTTGGTTAAACAAATTGCAGGGTTTGCGTGTCCAGGCACTTTGCCCACGTTCAGGGCTTTTTGGTGCACAAGCTCTTGAACAAACAGTGCTGCCACTTCGATGTGTCGCATGCGGCTGCCAGCGCCCAAACGCTTGGCTGTCTGCAACGCTGTGCTCGCATCTGCCCACAAACGAGGCACGCTCAGCTTCATGTTGAAATTTTCCTTTGCGAACTGCTTGATGAATATAATCTTTCGCGCCCCTCGGCTCAATGCTCTAGTTTCAGCTTCACTTGATGATGTAGTAGGTGTTCCAGGCTGTGTTTGTGGATGTGCTGTAACTGCGCTGCCCCCTACATTGATGATGGTACAATCTGTTGAGCGGCGAGTGTCAGCACACCCGGCCCAATCTGAGTCCGTGAAACCATCAAGGGTCAGAACTCCAGATGACAAACTTTCAGGGTTCAAGGTGGTGACCCTTGCAAGGTCTGGTTTGTGCAGCAAGTACCGTGCTAACGTGGTGAGGTTGCTCCAATCCACCTCACGCGGATCACGCATGTGACGAGCAAGTTCCTTCACTTCGAACCGTATGTCTCTACGATCGATGCGCAAATAAATGAAGGAACCAACGCACTTGGGGAACAGTTCCGCGCGGCGTGCATCCATGTTTTCTTCTGTGTGAGGGATGCGATGTCCTGCGACTTTCGATGTCTTTGCCTTCCAAAGGTCGAGGAGTGTCAAAACATTGTCGCGATGCTTGTTGTCGGGCAGCGTGAAAAACGCATCTGCTAAAACATTCACCTTGGTGCCTGGCCTTTCGATATCCCCATTCTTCATGTCAAGGTATTTCCCAAACCGTTTTTGGATTGGAGGAAATTGAGATCTGCATCGGACGCGCCCATGCGTACATCATCAACGTGATGCAGCAATGTCGCATCTGTTGTGCTGCAGGTGTAAACGGTAGGGTCACGCTTGCCACGCACAAAATGGTAACCATGCGACACCAGTTTGTCAGCGCGACGACTTTCTCGAACTCTTGACGATAGTTGCCGCCCGCAGGCCTTCTGCCGTACAAATTGCCATCGAGCTGCAGGACGACGTGTTTGCACAAGTCCGCATGCATCGTGAGCTGCTAACCACGCGTGAAAATGCTGGACGTACTCAGGCGGGTTGCCGTTGCTGTCACCCGGGTCGGTGCCCAACAAATATGCGCAGCGAACATCTCCGGAGCGTGAATGCCAGCCGTTTTGGAGGCATTTTAGCTCCAGAAGAACATGTGATTCTTCATACGGAGTTGGGGCGAATGTGTTGATTTCTTCGGCAAGTTCCTCTTTTGAATACCGCTTCTTGATGTCTGCACAAGTGAAACGCGAACGATATGCACCGCGCGTGATTTCATCAACCCACTTGAAGTTGAAGAGTTTGCATTTGTGCGGAATTGCGGGTTTGAGTTTCGGTGTTGCAAACTGCTTTTCCACAAGGGTCGCCATCTGCACATCCCTGGCTTCCTCCACTTCGCGCGGATCCCACTGAGTGTGCCTCGCTGGATGTTGCAGCCTCGCTGCTTTCCGGAGCAGGGCGCTTTTCCAGCACAACAGGTGCAGGCAATGGAACAGCATTGATGCCAGTAGGGCTTGCTTGAACACGTGGGATGGGTGCAGCACCAGCTCTCCGGAAAGGGGAAGTTGGACTTGGCGCTTCCAGTTGAAACGGCGACGGCGGTGTGACTCATTGGGGTCTGGCACAACCACATCAGGAGGAACGGGCATCGCGTCTTTTGAAACAGCCGGCGGCTCAACGCTCAGAGGCGGTTGGCTTGCTTCCGACACAGGGGGGGCAGGCAATGCCACAATTTGGCTGCTTTCCGTGCGTACCTTTGTTCGCTTGCCTGCGGGCGCCCAGGGCAAACCTGCATTGAGGTAAGCTACGTCATGCTGATCTGCCAGCAGCAGACGTCTGACCGAGCGCACAGTGATTGCACCAGCATCCGTCAACACAACGGCGGAATCATCAACCTCTAACCGACCAACAAACAACCCCTTAAACCACCGAGGTTTGGCTTTGCTCAGGGACTTGGTGTCCGGAAGCTTGCACAAAACGACCTCCCCAAATTCGACGATGGGGGTGGCGTAGTCACGCCCAGACACGATGCGAAACGGTGTCATGTTGTCGGCCTGCACATGGAATCTGGCCCAAACGAAAGCAACCCAACGGCAAAGCCATGGGATCACGGGATGGTTGATGTCCAGCGGTTCGGCAGGATTTGGGTATGTTTCGTTCAAGGCACTGAGCCACGTGCGCAGCATGCCTGCCATAAGGCGGTTTGCGTTCTCAGTGCCACCTTGGCTGGCATGGCTGTACCGCAGGGCCGCTCGCACTTGGACATGATCGTGTCCCAGTTCTTTTTGGACTTGATCGACGACAGTGCGCAATGCTGATTCTTGGTTGTGCTGCCCCTTCGGGTACCCCAAACGTCTAACCCAAGAAGTTAATGCACGCACCGTGTACGCTTCTACCCCATTGTGAGGCACGAATGCCATCATGGGCCATCCGGAAGACAAGTCCGTTCCTGTGAGGACTGTGGCCTTTTTGCTTTCTTCTTCAACAAGCTGCCCGTCGCGACCGAAGAATAGATCATCGACCTGTAGTACGGGAATTTGGGGATCCTCGTGCTTGTTTTTGCGCTTGTGCTGGGAATCAGCAGCCTTCCCGGCTACGCAATGCGGGCACCACGATGCAAAGTCGGCATGAGTTAAATTGTGGCGAGAATGCTGCTCGTCGGATGGGGCATCCGGCATCGGAAGACCTGCTGGCTGCGGTGGCGCATGTTCCCTGCCACACTCCACATCTGCATTCTCGAGAGCATCGGGCTCGGACGTGCCGGCGCCTGCATCGGAACCTGGCTCAGTGGGAGAGTAATGCATGGGACTGGGGCTCTCATCCCCATCGTTTCCAGCCGCAACGAACTCTGTTGTACCATTCCCGGGGGACCTGTTTTCATACGGCAAGTAAAACCTGGCACCGAATCTTGGCAAAATGATGGTATGACCATCTGGGGTATCTATGTGCGCTGGCTTGCCAGAAGATGTCCGATAAAAGTGGAGGTCGCAATCAGCGTCATCCAAGATTCGGCAAAAGGCCATGACCGGCTCTGTGGCATCAGTGACACCCATTCGAAAAGAAGCTGGAGTTGCGATAGGCTCGCCACAGCAATCCGTCACGGGAATGGCCGTGGGGGCGGACAGTTCACCCTTGTGTCGAATGGGCGTGCCATTGATGGCCCACTGATGGCCCACAGTTCCTTTTGCCGTGTGGCGTCGACCGTTGCATCAGGGAAACACTGATCACTTGCGCAGCTGGTCGTGGCACCGGAATCAAGAAGGACGTACTTGGTGGAGGATGTTGCGGCAACCTGTTCAGTGACCTCAACAGCCTGAGCCGGAGTATCGCTGATGACAAACAGCATTTCTTGGATGGCGCCGTGACCTTTGCGGCCCTGAGAGTGCCCTGACGGCATGGACGGGTTAGCAAATGAACGAAGCGCATCAAGCTGTGTTTGCAGCGTGGAAATGGCGGCCGACAAGTTCTTGTCTGGCACGGCTGCATCCACGGCAGCTTCGGTACTGGGCTGCTGTGCTGAGGCGCGCTTGTTGGTTTTGCCATCCCCCTTCGGGTTGGCACGGGCATTGAAGAAACAAGCGTCAGTGGTGTGATTCTTCAGATTTGCCGCTGGGGTCACCCTTGCGATTGTTTTTTGACTTACCATCACCTTTCGCCGGGGAACCTCTTGACCCTTTATCTGGATTACCTTTCTTGCCACCTTTACCGCCTTTAGCCTCTTTCGACTGCTCCTATCTCCATGGGTGCTGGCCCAGAGTATGGAGCTGATGATGCAGAAGCGGGTACACACACACACACACTCACTCACTCACTCACTGACTGACTGACTGACTGACTGACTGACTGAGCCCCTGCTTCCTAAACGGAAGGGATCTTTTTGACATAGCTTGACTTTGTTCAGATTAAATCTTATAGGGGGTTGGAGTGGGTTGAGGTGTATATGAACGGGAGTCCACCAAACGGAGTCGCCATACATTTGTACAACCCGGGACCTGTTGAGCATTGAAAGATCGCGGACTAAGACAACGGAAGCCAACAACAAATGGGTTCCTGGCAGGGGGCGGCTGTCTATTCTCCTGTAGAGTCCCTGTTGACGCCGCAACCCTCCTGTCCAAAGCGCTCGTTGCAAGCCCCCGACTACTCGAGACGAGGGGCTACTAGCTGTGTGCCCTTCACCACGCGCGGGCACTTCGAGCATGCACTTGTGACTCGAGGGATGACCAAGAGCTGCCGCTACGGGAGTTGCTGGCCAAACATGCGGGGCATCCTGACTGAGACCTGCCAGGATGCAAAGGGAAGATGATGCGAAAACAAAGGTGAACCATGTGCATTTCAATCCGTTTCGACGTCCACGAGCGGATGCCATTTCGGCTTAAAGCGTGCAGCAGCCCGTCCAACGGGATGCCCAAGACAGAGCTTTGCATGCATTGTTGTGCTCAGCGGTTGCATCCTTTGTTGATGTCCTGGCATTGTGTCGGGACACGCACGCCATCTCACACAACTGAGGAGGATGGGTGCCGGTATTGCCTACTGCTGCAATTCCACATCCGACACTTGAAAGGTGATGGTTCGCCCTTCAGGGTTAGTCTTTAATTACATCGAATTACCAACTCGCGACATGACATTCTTTTCGGGGCACTATTGGAGTGTTCCAAGTTTCAAACCTGTTCGTGTATGCTTTGTGGGTGGTTCCCATCCATTGAATTGTCTCAGGAATCGGCTGAGCTCAAGGTCAGCTCATCCGCCTTGGCGAGCCTGGGTGGCAAGATGTTGTGTGCAAGGGGAAGACAAAGGGCCACATGTCTGGAACGTGTTAAACCAAAGGATCTTGGAGTTATATGTGTGCCGAGGAATGGCGATGTCGTTTCAGCTTCGTCATTCAGCCGCAAGCTATTGTTCGTGCACTCAACAATGTTGAGAAACCGGCCGTGCCACCTGGTTTTGAGAAACAGTCTTGGACACCGCCTCACTAAGGATGGTTGTTGTGGATGCCTTTGTCTTACTTGCATGAAGGTATTGCAGTCTATAGGTCTGCAATGCCTGCACGTGTGTTTCCAAACTGTTTGAGGCGAAAGAATACAGTGCTCGGTATTCTGCACGAGCAGCCGCTCAAAGAAGGATGGCAAGATCGCCCACAAAGGCGGCTCTCATCCCATGTAGATTTCAGAATCCAGTCCATTTGTTGCTCAGGCGACGGACACAACGCCAGTGGCAATGGATGATCTTCCCATTTGCCCTCTGCACGGTGTGACCTTGGCCTTCATGCAGGCTGTTGGACAGCGGATATATGTCTCCTGTGCTTTGGTATGCCTGCGCATGGAAGGAGTTCGGCGAGCAACACAAATCCAAGGTGCCACGACACACTAAGCTAACCCATGCTCTGAGTCAGCTACAATGGTGCCTCGAAGGTGAGCGAGTCTGATTTTTCTATAGGCCAGCGGCAAGCTCTGCAACACAAGCAATGCAGGCAAAGGTTTGATTTGCATGCAAAAAAACGTTCAGATGTGTCAGGTGGCTTGTGCTTCAAAATCATCAAGCCGATGACCATGTTCAAGGGTGGCAAGTATCCAAGCTGCGATTTTGTGTTCGATGCTTGATTTCTGTTCTCTCTATATAAGGGTTTGTGATATTAAGGGTACCTAATTGGGGTCCTCATCATAGGGGATCCTATTATGTGGGGGTCCATAGTAGAGGCCCCTTTTTGTCGTAAACCCGCATTTATCCGGAACTGGCATTTGAAGCAAAGGTTGTGCTTATCTGCGGATGAAGCCGACGAGCTTCTGTCTTATGCGGAGGCATCACCCCGCTTTCCCACACTATGCACGCTTCTGGCCTCTGGCCAGATGCAGACACAGAAGTCAGTGCTTGCCACTTCAGCGATGGTGTTTGTGCAAGACATTCCGAACCCTTGCATGTCGACATGTCGTTGTATTTCAGCATTTGTCATGGGCAAATCTTCGGATGGCAGGTTGGCTTTCAGCAGGACCTGAAGGATCGATGCAAACAGCCGGCTTTCGTAACTATGGCCATTTAGCTGCAATTTGTGCCGCGAGATTTCGATTCTTAACTAGTGGGGCGGTTGTTATCCAGCTGATTGCCAGAAACGTACCTTTGCCTTTCGGACCAAGGCACACCATTTTGTTTCACATGCTTGGAGGCTACGGGGCAGACAAGTGCCAGGCACATTGGCCATCCGTCCATTTCATGGCAGGTACAATTATTCGACATTTTTAGATGCGCTCGCCACTTGGGATGCGCGGACAGGCACGAAGTGTGCTTTTCGTTCTGAAACAAGTCCCTCGCATGACAACAAGAGATACAAGAGGCAAAGATCTCACCACATACTTTTGGGTGGACGCATTCGTGAGGGGCCCAGCCTGCGTCATGACTTCGCAAAACAAGCGATGCCTGCATGTCTCTACAAAGGTGGTCAATCAGCACATTGCTGACTCATATCCGATGGAATGGTGGTCCACACGTTTTGCACAAGCTGTAGGCCGGTTGACTCTTGCAATATCTTGCAATGCTGTGTGTACATGGGGGGAGGAAACATTCGACTCTGTCAGTGCTCAGTAGAATTTCCGAACTTGGCCGCCCGGTTCAAAAGCACTCGAACACAATGGAGCAGAAGGGGCTGCAAAAGCCGCTGCAAGGAATTCGCGCATTCAAACCGATGATTTTCGAAATGTCTTACTCATGCAGCGGCCCCAGCTCAGGACCTGAAACCGTTGCCTGGGCGTGCCAAAGCTCATAGGAATTAACCACGCGGCGTCGCATGATGCCGCAAGGAACCATCTTCATCGGGAGCCGCAGGGCATGTGAAACTTTCCATCCAAACTGAATGGACAATGTGCCAAGGCATGACTCCGAGATGTGGCAGATGTGTTCCGTGTCTTGTTTCGGAAGCCTTGCTGGAACAAGGCGAAGCCGTCCGCTGCAAAGCGAAGCCGTCTGCTCTCGCTCCGAGAAGAAGCTTAATGAAACTCAAGTGATGCGGTACGCTTCTCTCAGCCTGACTTGCTGGGCAAATGCCGGGTAGAAACAACGGACTCAGTCAAGGGCCTGCAAGGCACCCGTAAAGCACATTGGTAGTTCTGCTTTAAGGGAGGGTGGGGGGGGGGGGAGGGGGGAATGGGTAAATGCCATGTGGGGGCGGGCGAACCTACCCCCAAAGCCAAGAAATTGGAGAACATGAAATGCAGGCTGGCTTGTGTATCTTGTGTTCCGGGGCTTCGTGTATCCATTTGGGGTGAGGCTGAGGGTCTAGGGTTCTAGCTGACATCTGCAGTTCTTCAAGAAATTCAGAAAGGCCAGGGCTTCATTCAATTAGCGTCATCTCGTATGCTATCTTCTTAGGTAGGTTAGAACAAGGGAACGCGGACGCCGCAGAGAAAGCTCGGCTTTCAAAAACTGTTGATTCGTGCAAAGCCGACCACCAAAAAAGATCAGGCTTCACCAAAAATCCGCGAGGCCAAAAGTACAAAATAGGGGGGCGTGCAAGGAAGATGGGCGTCGGTTCTGCTCAACGATGTTTGCTCTCTTTCTTGCCTTTTTGCTGATAGTCTCTGTTGGTCGTTTGTGTGTTTTCACAGCATGAATCCGTGGACTCTGTGCCAATTCTATTGCCACGTCCGAAATCCACCCAAAGGTTTCTCGTGGTTCAAGTAATTCGGACAAACCATGGCATGTAGGAGTCCATCTGCCTAACAAGCCTGGCCTTCACCATCACCACTTCCTGTCGCGAGGGCATGGAGCAGGGATGGTTGAAGATCTTTTTGAGTGGGAGGGCGCAACGCTGGCAAGACAGAATCTTGTTCGACATGCGACAGCTGAGGGCATTCCAGCTTGCTCGGAATGCTTGTCCAGCTTCAAATCCTTTGCCGTTTCTGCGCACACTCACAAAAGCAACTTGGGGATTCGAACAGTCTGGGCGGGGCTCAGTCTTCTGAGTTTCCCTCGACGTCTGGACACGGGGTCCCTCTGGCTCAGCCAAAAGTGCTTTCGTCCCAAGCCATCCCGCTCATGGCCTGAAACATTGAAGGTGATGTTGGCAGCACCATCCTTGTCTCCATGCCCTGGGAGGCTGGGGCTGATGGCCGCAGCACATTTCAGGGAAAACTGTTGCTTCGCCTCGCTTCGCCTTGAAGGACCCAACTCCGCTGAAACGCGTTTGGGTGATCTGGGAGATTTTCTGCGCGTACCAGACGGGTGCCAGATTTGACATTGCTATGCAGCTGACCCAGATGCACAGCTTCGTGTGAGTGGTGGACCATTGCGGATGACCCCAAGTGACAGTTCCCCAGAATCCGAGGCCCAAGAAGGAGCTGGAAGGCTTCAGGGCAGAGCCTTGCCCGAGTGGTGTGCGATCTGTGAGGAATATAGGAACACGTCTGAAGCCTAGGCACTGATCACGTCCTTCACCAAAGTGCAGACTGCCTTGAGCAAAGTGGACGTGGAGCTCAGCAGTGCGTTTCACAAGAGCCATCAGGACAGGCAATGGGCAGCTAGTGCCACAGGTAGTGCCCACAGCAGCAGCACCATGCCGCGGCGCATGCTGCGGCGCATGCAAGCTCTATGAAGCTCAATGAAGCTCAATGAAGCTGAAGCTCCCAAGCATTTCCTTCCTTTTTCTCTTCAAGCAGGATATGGTTCACGATGAGATCAGACGGACGATAGGCCCCAGGGATGCAGATTGAGTGTTTAGGGGGGGGGCCGCTATCATTTTGGATTCGCAGGCTTTACCAAGCTCAACGAGATGGTTCAGCTGCGGATGACGCGCTGGCTCATCGGTATGGCAAGTCGGGAGCACGAGCCTCAGCAGTCGATGGGTGCTGTTGGCAGAAACTCGAAAGGAATTCTCAGCAAGGCTGCAGAGCATGAAAGAGAATGCCAGCCCAGAAAACTGGAAAGATCGGATGGGTCTCCAGGACGAACTTGGAGCATGGTGTTGCCTCTCTTGCTACGTTTGCTGACCTGTCCCTTGACACACGCAGGATAATCTGGCCCGCATGCTGCGAGAAAGTGGCAATTTCTCTGGTGCCGAGTTTTACTTCAAGGATGTGGGCGGAGGATGTTGCGTGTGAGATTCGCTAAATGCGTGGAACGAGCTGCAGGAGCTGCTGACAGAAGTTGAGAAGACGCAGGGCAAGGATCATGTCATTCACCTTGTTTAGTCGCAAAGAGTCCCTGCAGAGATTTGCTGCGTGACAACTGCTTGTGCGTGCTGGCACGCTTGTTAGCAAGAGTTTTCGGTTCTCTGGACTGGTGGCACGTAAGGTTATGACAATGAGTGCCCTGAACCAGCTAGCAGTTGCTGCCTCAGTACGTCCGGGGGAACACCTAGCAAATCTAGCACATGGGCCAAAGCAACATATAGCACGTAAGCAATTGCCTTCGTGTCACGGCTGGCGAAGGTCACCTTGCAGAAGGCGAATCACATAGATGAGGCCATTGCCTTCAGTGAGCAACGAGGTTTTCAGACTCTATCCCTGACCCCCTCCCCTCCCACATCTTGCTTAGGTAGTTTTCAGGACCTACTGATTGCACCACATGTGGTCGTGACTGTCATTGCGTTGCTTTCAGGATGCAAGGAGCGTTTATGCTTTGTGGTTGTCTGTACAAACACACCGGCAGTCGGGCGTCGGTGTTGATGCCAGGCCAGGGATCGGCATCGAGACTGCTTGCAGCGCCGTCGTCGAATTCTTGGGGAAAACCATGAGGCACCGGTGCAGTGCATCCACTGCTTTTGTGAGGCAAATGGCGACATGTAGGCTGTAAGCTGTGTCATGGACCATGACAACATGTAGGAAACTCTGCAGAGTGTCTCCAACTTGGCCGTGCTGCTCAGCTTACACAGGCCACGACTATGGAAGGGCGGGCTGTCATGAATGTT